CTTAACTACAAATTTCATTGTATTATGTAGTGGAAATAAACTTGTCTAATTTTGGTTATGAAGTAGATAAAAAAATCATGAAACTTTATCTATTTTATCATGTTTGAAGACGGATTTGAGGCATTTGTGACTTTGTGTTTTATGTTATTGTTTAAATTTGTTAGAGTAATTCTCTCTTCTTTTTTGTATTTTAAAAACTATGAGAGGGTATTACTTTTTGCAAAAATCAGGAATTGAAGCCTTTAGATTTCAGCATCATGATTATGGATTATGTATTCTGTAATTACCATGGAGTATTCATTTTAGCTTTGTTTTTTTCAAACTGAACTGAGGCTTACGCCTCGTTCCGCCTCGAGGCTTACGCCTCAAGGCATTTTTCTCCACCGCCTCGAGGCTCGTTTTCGCCTTTCAAAACCTTGCTCTTAATTACACCGTATATTATATGATGTGTATTACTATTATGTCGGTTTATAGAGAGGTAGGGAACATTGTTTGACCAGAAAAGATAAATTTAAGTGATATTAAGTATTCTAATTAATTTTTTCCTAACCCCACCCCCCACCCCACCCAAAAGAAAAAATAAAGAATGAAGAAAGTAAATGATTTCTTGAATTAAGAACCAGGGGAAGTATCATTCAATAGAATCCATCGCATGCTGCATGAAACTGAAAACACTCGTAATTTTTCCCAATCCATAGAATTCTGGATTTAAGACACCAAGAATTTAATAGAGCCCACAAATTCTGAAGACAGAATTTCAAAAATCCATAATATTCCATATTGAGGCCAGCCTCACTTTATTTTTTTGTACTTGGAGGGTGGTGGGTGGGGGGGGGCAAGATTCTAGTTCATCAGTTGTCTTTGATAGCACTACTTATCCTTTGGCATCAATGGCTTGTCATAATAGGACAATGCAGCTACCGAGAAGCACATCAAGATTCAAATTCCATCAAATCTAAAGAAGCAACTTGTTGATGACTGGGAGTTTATCAGTAAGAAGAATCTGGTATGTCGTTTTCTTTGTTTTTGATCTTCTGTAGTCCTCCACTACTCCATATGAATGTAGAAGGGAGTACTGATTACAAACAATCTGAGAGTTCACGTAAAGGATTGAGCAGCCAGCTATGCTGCTTACATGATCTGTTCGTCTTGTAACTCATTGTCTTTTTTGTCCCTTCTATAGATTTTGTAAAGCGTCTAAAATCCAAGTATGCAACTTGTTTTTGGCATTTAAGTTTCTTTTTGGAATCTAAATGGCATACTGATATGGACTTAAACTTTTATATTAATTTCTCACAGCTTGTAAAGCTTCCACGGTCTCCCAGTGTTGATAATATACTGACGAAGTATCTTGAACTCCGGTCAAAAAAGGATGTCACGTAAGCATCTCTTTCTATTGCTTTTTAGTTTTACGTAATTGCTGAACTGAAATTTATGGAGATGTTTTCATGTTGATTGAGTAATATGTTTTCTAGTAAATATCTGGGTAGATGGTCATGTCAATAAGCAGAAAGGTCCATTGTGAGAGGTGGGAACAACAAAAAGTTTCTATTTGAGCCCAATAGTTCCGTTATAAGGTGCACAGTCTGTTTGATGTTTGAACACTGGCACATTGTTTACATTACAAGGAATATAGATAAGGAACTCTTAAGTTGCTAGAGGCTGCTTGATTGTACAAAAGTATAGAATCTCTCTCTCTCTCTCTCTCTCACACACACACACACACATATACCAAGATATAGAATAACCCTTGTAAAGTCTTCCTTGCCAAAACCCTATAAAGCCCACACTTTAAAACCAACCTTGGGATTTTCATTCAAACCCAACAAATTCCTCTTAGAAAAAGACCGTTCTTGTACTGATGCGAGCACTTTAAAGCAAAAGTAATGGGTTTCTTGTATGAAATATATACCTTCACGTGTGATGTACGAGTAGTATATTTCCCTAAGTAGCACCCCTTGGTGACTCGTCTCTCCTTTATGTATATATTGATGCAGGATGGCGGACTCAGTCGGAGAAATTCTCAATGGCATAAGGTCATATTTTGACAAAGCATTGCCCGTTATACTCTTGTACAAAAAGGAGCGCCAACAATATCACGACGTACTCTCAGATAAAAATGTCTCTCCATCTAGTGTATACGGTGCCGAACATCTGTTGCGCCTATTTGGTATGTTTTCTAGGTTCACGAAACTATTCCTTATCATAATACTTTATGATACTTTATTTTTATTTTTGTTTTTGGGGGTGGGTGTGTATGTTCATTCATGATGACCAGCAGAATTTTAAAACCAATCTTATCCTTGTTTGGAGGTGTTTACAGTGAAGTTGCCTGAGCTACTTGCTTGTGTAAAGATTGAAGAGGAGACATTAACTAGCTTGCAGCAGATATTGCTGGATTTCCTCAAGTAACACCCCCCCCCCCCTCTCATTTCTTCACCTCTTTATTCTTATAAGAAACAAGAAGCACTTGGAATAGTCATGTATATGCTGAATCTTAAAAAACACCGCATTTTTTCGTGTTTTTTTGTTGCAGATTTCTGCAGAAGAATCAGAATACTTACTTCCTCTCTTCTTATGGAGGAAGTATCAAGGGTAAAGATAGTTGAGTGGCTAATGAATGGTTCTGATCCTCCTGGCCATAGCCCCCCCCATAATTCCCCATTTGTTGTAGAATGTTACTTAGCTTAGCAAAATGCTATCTGCCTCTTGTCTGAATCTTTGCTGTAGCCTATTCTTGTGTTCAGTAATACAAATTACAAACATTCACAAACCATAATCAATTTGCACATTTCAATTTCAATTTTTTTTGTAAGAATACATTACTAAGAGTCTGTCTGTCATTAAATTTAATTCTGGGCTTGTTCTCTTTATTTGATCTGATTCGTTCGGGTGTGATTGAAATAAGTTTTGGACATATTGTAATTATATTTAAAATTGTTTTGGATTTGATTTGATTTGATCTGATATGATTTCAATAAGAATAAGTTATAGAGAACAATCTAACATTTACATTTTTAGATCTTAAATTTTAAAATGAGAAGATTTAGAATTAGAATTCAATTTCACATATTTTTATGTAGTCAAGCAGAAATTGAATTGAAGTTTTTAATTCTAATTTCATGATTTAAGTTTTGTGTATCAAACTAAGAAAGTTTAAAGGGAGTGAGAATGTAACTTTTTTTGAACTTAGATAACTGTTGTATTTGTTAGTACAAGAAAAAATAGAAAAACCTCAATTCGTGTAAAGATTGGAAATATACAAATGGAATATACAAAGAAATTAGGGATAAAGTTACTTGTACGGCAACTTTTTGTACCTCAATCTGTACCCCGCAGTTTTGCACCAACATTTTGTGTTGGTGTAAAACTAATTTTTGTTAACGCACAAACACTTTGTGTCCGTGTAAATTTTTGTTAACACACCAACATTTGTGTCGGTGTAAACATCAAAATGTTTGTGTATAACTGCAGTGTACAAATGTGATACATTTTTTGGTGTAAATGTAGCATGGTCGAGAAATTAAAGGGCATCCATCTATCCTGTCCATCCCAAATGTTGGTGGGGTTCACAGACTGAACAACCTTCTTATCATGTGAATGTCTGTTCTGCAAAATGGACAAATCTTGGCTTCTCCTTCACTTATCCTGCTCCCCCCACATTATTTATCACAATAATAACATGTTAAATAAATTATTGCATGCCTACAATTATTAAATTTGGTGAATTATTCCTATATACCGAGTACATTTTTTAAATAAACAATAAAAAATATTTAAAACCATTCTGAATTTTTAATTTCCCATTATTTCAAAAAGACATTTTATGCACTTTGGTTTTTTTACTTAGGCCTGCAGTGCTTTGTTATTTTGGCTATCACCGCATTGCCCTCTTTTGGAACATTTACGATGCTTAGTTAAGCCCGAAAATGATTCTTACTTATTTTAAAAACGTTCAAAATTGTAATATTTAAACATTATTTTATTTTATAAATTTGTATACGAATAAAAAAAATATGAATTAAATATTTTAAAATTACATTGAAAAATTGTAATCATTAAAAAACACATAATAAACAAAAATCAAGTCAATTATTTTGGGACACTAATTAAAGTTTGTACCCACTTAAAAAATTATTTTCTAAGCGTTGAAAAGCGAAAGAAGTGAGTAAGGGCAAACCTTTTGGCACAATGTAAGCAAGTGGCAAAGTGACCACATGGAACAAAGAAGCAGCAGCGTTTATGGTCATAGCAAATCGCACATATCTTATTCCCCTCGTCCAACTCCTCCGGCGAGTTGCTCCGGCCGCCGCCGCCGCAGTCCCCGGCCTCCGCGTCGTCCTCCCCCTCCCCGCCGCCACACGCCCCGTAAACGATCGGAATCGCCTCCTTCGGGAGCAGCCGGCTGCTCTCCGTCGCGCCGCCGTCTCCTCCTCCTCCTCCGCCGTCGTCCATGAATCCGATCAGTTTCAGCATCAGCGCTAACACCATCACGAATATCACTGCAACCCCACAAATTAAAAAAAAAAATATTGTTTTGGTTTATTTTACTTTATTTTGAGAAAAATAATAACTTACTTATTGTTTCATGGGAAAAAAATAGGGAGGTAAGATAAGAGAGGTGAGAGGTGACTAACTAACCGACCAAGAACAGAGGTGTAAACAAAGACACGAACCGCAAATTCATATCCCCCCGTTTCCTCCTACCAAATTAAACAAAGAAATATTGGTTAGACTATTTTAATTGTTCAATTAATTAAATAATAAGTTCTGAGCAATGCTAGGTTCACAAACAGGATGCTCACAAAATTTACAAACTTACTATTTATGGTTTAAATTTTCATTTTAAAATTATTTAAGACTATTTAATTTTTTTTGTTGGAGTTCACAAATAGTAAGTTTGTAAATTTTGTGAGAATTCTGTTTGTAAACCAAGCATTTCCCATAAGTTCTATGGTGGACCTAAGGTCTACTATGGACTAAGCAAAATAAGCATTTCTTTACGATTTGAGTATGTATTTGTTTTTTTAATTAAATTTCTTTTTTAAAAAACGATTTTTTATGTGATAAAGTCCACAAAATTAATATGCACCCAAGTTACACCAAAGAAGTACTCCTAAATTAATTCTCTCTTTAACGTATATTTCAACCGAATGTCTTTACTTTTCTTAATTTACATGAAAGTCAGAAAATAAGAATGATAGGTACTTTACTTTTTCTGAACATCCAAAAAAAACTGGATATTCCCTCTGTCGGAAAATGTTTTTCTCATTTGACTTTTCTTGGTCAAGGTTCGTAAATTTTGACCTGATATATGAAAAAAATAAATTATATTATGGTATAAATTTAGTATCAATATATATATCTCTTGAAACATAATTTTCAAATATAAACTTTTTGTAAAATATATCTATGTATAAATATAGATATTAATGATCAAAATACAACAGAGAAGATCGTGAAAAGTCCAATGAAAAAATATTTGTGGAGAGAGGGAGTAGTAATTACCTGTTCATCGAAGTTAGGGAGAGAAGAAGGGGAGAGTGGGAAGGACATTGTTGAAAGCCCGACTGACCCGCCGCTGTGATCTTGATTTAATTTGCAAGCTAAGCTGGGTAAAATAAATAGAACTAACACAGAATTGGATTTATTTATTTATATACATTCAAAAATTAAAAAAGAAAAACAGTACTGACGAAGAAATTCAAACAGATCCGGACATAGGTTGATGGGGGATTAAATTAAACGAGAATTTGAGGGAGAAAGAAAGAGAGTAAATGGAGGTTTGAATGTGGGGGGGGGGGGGGGG